AAGTTATTAATGAAAGATGAGTATTGAATCCTGTCATTTTGTTGTTGTTGTTTACATTCTTGCTATAGCTGTACTTTTACACTGTCATACCCTCGTTGGAATTTGACTCTTGAGTTTGCACATATAAGTGAGATCATACAGCATTTGTCTTTCTGTGCCTAGCAGAGTTCACTTATTATAAGGTCTTACGTTTTCCATTATACTTTTGCAAATGGCAGTTTCCTTCTTTTTACTGCTGAATAATATTCCATTGTATGGGCATACCATGTTACCACATTTTTATTTGTTCATCTGGCATTGGACACTTGAGCTCCTTCCAGCTCTTGGCTATTGTGAAGAATACTGCAGTGAAGATGGTATACAAATATTTTTGCATGTTCAGTCCTTTGGGACTGTGCCCATTGCCATCAGTGGTGCTCAAGGTTTCTACTTTCTCTACATCACCACAAATTATTATTTTCTGTCACGTTTCTAATAGCTATCCTGTGGATGTGAAGTGGGACTTCATTGTGATTTTCATCACATTTTCTAATGACTAGTGATACTGAGCATGATGTGCTTATTGACCATTAGAATATCTTCCTTAGAGAAATGTCTGTTCAAGCTTTTTGCCTTAAACATGAATTTCAGATGAACAATAAAGTTGTCCTGGTTTATATGTGCTTCACACAATATGTAGAATACATGTATACTGAAAAAAAAACAGTTGTTCATCTGAAATTTGATTTTAACTGGATGCACTGTGTTTTTATCTGCTAGACATGAAATAAAATAGCAAAAATAAAAAGTGAGAACTGGAATGAATCTAAAATAGTCGTTAGATATTTCACAGCTTTGCTAAGGTGAGCTCTGAAATAGTTTGGTGTTTTGTGGATGTTTGGTTGGTGTTCTTGCTTTATTAAAAAATTATAATTTCATTTTGAGATCCTCCAGACAAAATCGTTTGAGCTTCACAGTCTTTGTGCAACATTATTGGACTCGCTTAATGAAATTATAACTCAAGCAAGATATTTCATTCTCTTGTAGTAAATTAGCTCAGGCAGTGTGGGTTCAGAGAGAGCAAATCCTTCCCAGAGTTGATTCTTCTTGTTTGGTAGAATGAAGGAGGAGCAGGCAATTCATATTTGAGTTATTTATTGTTCTTTGTGTGAACACTATATTGCTGTCTGTCCCTACCAGAAACAACAGCTGTTAACAGGCTCTGGGATGAATTTCAATGTGATTTCCCCTGGCCTCTAGAAAGCTAGGCTAAAGAGAAAACAGGTTCAGCCACAGAAGAAAACAGCAAGTTCCAGGCTGGGTCTGGTGCCTGAAGGCTATGGGCAGATAAAACCACCAGTGAGTGTTTTCCTGAGAAATCACACTTAGATCAAGGTATAAGAGCAAAATGGGAATATAGATCTAGGCAGCACTCTGCTGCAATAACAGAAACAGACCAAAGGCAGCAATGAACACAGTGACCTCAGTAAAACACCCTGCACTCAGGTGTGGAAGACGTCAGAGGAGATGAGAAGGGTCCTACATGTTCAGCAATGAAGCCCTTCATGGCCAGTGCCCCAAGAAACTTAAGAACAGTGTCCAAAATGACTATAATGCAAGTTTGACCAACGGCAGATGAGTAATGGTGGCATTTATATCCGTAATCTTTTAATGCCTGTGGTCCAGATTCATGCTGAAACACAGAGAACTTTGTAGACCCAGGAAGAATGGAAGTCTGGAAGAGCAAGCTCCCTGAGCTGTGGCTCTGGTAGGCTCTCTTCTGTGAGCATGGACTAACGCTCCCTACTTTAGGGATTTAATTTGATCAGTAGAAACTTCTAAAATGAGGAATTTCCTCTGACTTCTTTTATTATTCATTTAATTTTTTTCCTAGTGATGCTTCCCACCTAAAAGTCTTTCATTTCTCTGTTTAAGAAAGAAGTTGCTAGTTAGGCTTGTTGGGGCATACCAGTAATCCCCATCTCTGGAAGGACAAGGAGGGAGGATCTAAAGGACATGGGTATCATGGGTAGCCTAGGACGCAGATGCAGACGCAGACGCAGATGCAGACACAGAGAGGAATTGCTGAGGTCATGGAAGGAAATATATTTTATTGGCCCCTAGCAGAATTTTCTGGCTTGTTCCATCTTCCTAACTGCTCTGTGCTCTTATGCAGTAACCTTCGAAGGTGTCTGCATCCCTGGCTACCAGAGCTGCAGGTACAAAGCTGCCCCAGGGACCCTGGAATTCTACCAGTGTCATCGAGGGTCAGTTCAGGCCCTCTACCCCACACTGACCTGACATTCTGCTCTACTACACTTCTACTTAAACACCCACTAAATGACACAGCTATGGTTTTAATAAGCCAATTAATTTTTTACATTTATAGAGTTATTTCTCATCTTTCACATTATTTTTACTTCTTGCATTTCAGGGTCACAAAGCAAATGTTTGTTTCACAAATTCGGAGTGGAGAGGTCTTGGCTTTATTTGGACAAGTCTCTCTTCTGGGACTGTTTCATTAACCTTAGTTTCTGTCTTAATTTGCCTTGATACAGTAGATGGTGGCCCACCCACCTGTAAATAGATACAAGGCAATCACCCTGACAATAATTACCTAAAGTTTTCAAGGATGTGGAACAGTAGAAAAGAAGATCCTCCCAAAAAGGGGAAAGAAAGATGGGAATCATAAAGTTAAAAACTGGATGGAGGAGAGGAATTTGATAAGATGCTGTCAGAAATTCAATAAAAGACAGAGCCAGAATGAAGTGTCTGCAACCAAAATGATCTTTCCACCTCCCTGCCCAACCTGTCAGTAATAAGAGCATATGAAAGCACTGAGTTTTTCCCAAACTCGATGTCAAAAGCCCATTTCCTGTTCTTCTTTCTCTTTCCAGACAAAGTAAGCATATTGTCAACTTTCCTCGCTCCCTTCAAGTACCTAAGTCCTGGCACCACAAACACGGAGGATGAAGACAATCTAAGTAAGCGGCCCCATGACTTTATGGAGAAGTCCCCACTCAATGTGTATGGGGGTGGGAGTGTTGTCATCTGTCCCCCAAGACTGAGACCTTTGTAGCCATGGGGTGAGGGGCTGGCTGGTCATCTCCAGAATAGGAGGTTCTGCTCCCATCCTCCCGGAAGACTGATCCTCTTCTGCAGTGGCATCCTTATGCACAGGTCCTTCCTCACCTGTAGCCCTACATTCACAGGAATCCCATGGTCATCACCTGAAGGTGAGAGCCCTTACCCGGAATCTTTAGCTATAGTCCATGTTCACCTGAAGAATCCAACTCATTCAGAAATCCATCCTCATCCCAAGTTCATTCTCATATGGAACATCACCTTTAGCACAGTACCACTATTGTCCGGTATATACTCTCACTGGTAGTTCATCCCCACCTAGAGGACCAAACTCATATAAATTCCATCTTCAGCCAGAGTCTCACACTCACATAGAATCCTGTCTGTCCTGTCATCCCAACCTCACCTCAAGTCCTGTCCTCATCTGGAATCCTGTTCTCACTTGCTGGTCCATCCTTAAGTGTAATCCCATCCTCAGATGCCTCCTCACCCTTACCCACAACCCATCCATTTCTGCAGTCTGATCCCTACCTGCAGCCCCAATATGTCACCTAGAATTTTATCTTCACCTTGGAATTCCACCATCACTGGAAAGCCCGATCTCACCCACCCTCCCATCCTAACATGGAATTCTACCCATACCTGGAGTCCCATCATCATTTTGGGGGAGGAAAAATATCTGGAATATCTACATGAGAAGAGCCCCAGGAATGGTGGGAAATGCACTAGATTTTCTTGGACAATCCTCTTCTCTCTTTCCTTCTTTTTCCTCCTCAAACAACAGTGGAAAGTGATTGCAGCATCACAGTGTCTCAGCTCAGGGTTTACAGTTCTTCAACAAGGAAAAGCTGAACTAGAGCATTCCTGTTGAATCATATCTAGTTCATGAAGCAGGAGAAATACTGACGTGGTGTTATTAGGTATCTGATATGAAAACTGGTTTACAGAAGGGGTCAGATCAGTCGTTACTGTTCGGATCAATAAAGAGAGCTCAGAGTGGAAACTGTTGGAGATTGGAAAGAGGAGCAGAGGAACAGAGAACAGGGGCATTCTGGGAATGGTTACCCTGCCCTATTGCCCTCTGCTTACCTATGACATATTGCCAGGCATTTTAAAGAGGAGGCCAAATGTTCCACACCTCTCTGCATTTTAATACCACCTAGCAGATGAACTTCTTTTTCAGCTAAAATGAGCTAAGAACATGCTTGTTTGTTGTCATGGGATGAGGAAGAAGCAGGGTATTATTAGTAGTTTCTAAGATAGGTTGAGGAAAAACAGTGACAGAGATTTCCTGAGACTTTTGTCTGTGTTACCTCAGACTTTAAGAATGAAAGCACATCTGTGTGGGCCACTCCTCCAGACAGTCCTCAATGCTGCTGAAAATGGATATTTCTCTCTATATTTACTTTCCTTATTGCTGTGATAAAGTATCTGACAAAGGCAACTTAAGGAAGGGAGGGTTATGTCCACCCACAGTTTGAGGGGACAGTCCATCATGGCATGGAATTCATGACGGCAGGAGCCTGAGGCAGCTGATCACATTGTGTCCACAGTCAGGAAGCAGAGAGAAATGAGTGCTGGTGCTCAGTTCACGTTTTCCTTTCCAAGATCCTAATCCATGGGATGATGCTGCCCACATTAGGCATGAGTCTTCCCACCTCAGTTAACCCAGGCTAGAAATTCCCCCACAAACAAGCCCAGAGGTTTGTCTCCTAGGTGAGTTTAGAGCCAGTCAAGTAGAAAATGAATATTGACCATCACACTCCCCCAGAGGATGCTACTAAAGTAAAGTTGCAGTGTCCCAAGGCCTGGCCAGATGGTCATGGTCCTCTGCTTGAGTCTCTATGTTTCTAGAGGAAGAAGTGGAAGGGCAGATGGTGGAGGAGGAAGCTGACTGGGCCTAGACAGGAGTTCTTGACCCTGATGTCTGGGTCCCTCTTCAGCAAGGCATGTGGGCTGAAGCAAAACCTTGACAAATCATTGTATATCTCTTCTCATTATCCAAGTTAGAAAGTTTTCAGAACAGTCAAGTTATTAATGGCTACTTAAGAAACTTTGGAAAGAGAGGAGAGAGAGAGAGAGAGAGAGAGAGAGAGAGAGAGAGAGAGAAAGAGAAAGAGAGAGATTTAAAAGCATATTCTGAGTGTGTGCAAGTTTGTTCTGACATGGGAGAAGTTGAACCCTGTGTCATGGTCTTTCCCACCCAGACCTTCTGGGGTATTGGTTAAACTAGAAATAGACAGCTAAATAGAGGAGTTATCTAGGGGATAGAGAGAAGCTACCATATTCTAACTACAGAAATTCAATAGTTATCTTTCTGTAACAGCCAAAGGTCTTAGGCCTTGAGAAATAAACCACCAAGTACCTTTAGGAAGTTATTGTTCTATCCTGAAGACACACACACACTCTCCCCTCTCTCTCTCTCTCTCTCTCTCTCTCTCTCACACACACACACACACACACACACACACACACACACACTGTGACTGAAGCATTCAGCTCCCCCTGAAGCTGGCATAGTTAAGCCAGTACCAGTAGAAGCCTAGTATGGGGTCAGAGTACTGACCCCTTAGGTGCTGCATGCCTACTTTTGAGCTTGAGAGCTTGTAGATAGGGGTCCATAAATGTCAACTTTCAGAGTCTCAGGGACCTGCCTCTTTTCTAAGATGGGAATCAGCAGCAAGGAAAATCATGGAGTTGAGGAGAACATGGAAAACAAGAAATGCTCAACCAAGGCTGGCTAAATAATTGCATTTAAAGGTATTTTCCCCTAATTCAGTTTACTGGCTAATGGGTAGATACTGATAAAAATAGCCTCTTTTTTTTTTTGGTCTTTTTGAGACAGGGTCTCCCTGCAGCCCCAGCTGTCCTGGAACTCACTATGTAGACCAGGCTGGCCTCTGCCTCCCAAGTGCTGGGATTAAAGGTGTGCACCACCACGCCCGGCTAAAAATAACTTTTAATTGTTCATGCTTTTGAAATGCTTGGAACACCTAATTGTTGATCAATGGGTTCATCTGCCTTCTCTTTCTCTCTCCCTTTCTCCCTCTTCCCCTTCTCCCCATGTGTGTGTGTGTGCATTCGTGCAAGCGTGCATGCATGTTTGTGTGTGTGTGTGTGTGTGTGTGTATGTATGTCTGTGTGTGTCTGTTGTATTCATGGGGTGAGGGGCACATATGCCTACATGCACATGTGTGCATAGAGGCAGAGGAGGCTGCCTGGTATTTTTTTCTATCACTCTCCACATTTTTTTGAGACAGGGTCACTTCACCAAACCCGAAGTCACCATCTCAGTCAGGATATCCTGTCCATGCAGCAAGACCCTGGGGTCTGCTCGTCTCTGCCTCCTAGCACTAGGGTTGCAGATGCTCACAGCAATGCCTGGCTTTAATATGGATGATAGTAACCAAACCATCTCCACTGAATCATCTCCCCAGATCCTGTTTTTTCTCTGGGTGCTGTTAATTCATTTAGAAAATTCTATTTTCAGATATATGCATACATTTTGTGATGTATATGTCCATGGTGTGAGTGGTATGTATGTTTATGTACATACGTGTGGCATATGTATGTGTGTGTTTGGTATGTGTATGTCCGTAGTGTGTGTGAGCAGTAAGTGTGGTGTGCATGTCCACGTGCATGTGGAAGCAAGGATGGAGGAAGAAAGCACACATGAACCTCCTCATACATCATGCTTTTGCACCTCTGGGCCTGATGCGTCTAGGCTGCTCTAAAGCAAAGACAGTTCATACCGAACCATTACATGGATTCGACTATTCAAAGATGCTTCTCTGTCACTACTTAGAGCCTGGCCACCTGGAACATATGACAAGTTTTGTCTGGAGCTATGAGCTGCTGCATTTAAAGTCACTGTGTTGAGGGACAGAAAAGAGGTAGCCAGGACCCACCCACCACACACTTCATACTCTACCTGTGAACACTGGTGTCTAGGAAGCTCCACCTGGATGCCAATCAGCAGTAGACTGGGTTTGTGCTGCTAGACTCTCCTATAATGTTATGCTTTCAAGAGCTGTCTGCCTTCAGTGCTTAGTAACTGAAGCCTTTACCTCTCAACGCTGAAATCAATGAGTCACTGTCCACCCTGGCCAATCACCCTCTGCTGAGTGGCTGGGATTTGCCCCACATTCATTGAGAAATGATTGAGAACAAGAGTTTAGATTGTCTTTAAATTCAGATGGCGGACATTTCCTCCCCTGATCCTGCCTCTCCCTTGTCCCTGAATCCTGTGCACACCCATCACAGTTTCATGGGTTCACACATGACAAGGCTGCAAAGAAAGGCATCTTTTACCAACTGCCCAGTCTGACACACTGCCATGCCCAACTGTAGCCAGCAAATGCCAGGCTCATGCTACCTGCTACACACCCTAGCCTGAGACCATCTATCATGTACCCTACACTGTAGGCTATCTCCTGGCCCTCCATACCAAGCCCTTCCCTCTGTTTGAAGGAAGAGCCAGTCTCCTGTTGCTGAACCCTGTCATCTAGGGGAAGAGCTACTCTGCTTTCAAAACCAGGGCTGCTTGGCAGCAGAATAACCTTTACCAGCAACAATATTATCTCTTCAAATGTAGCGTGGCACACTGGATGGCTGGCTCTCCAGAGCCCTCCTGACCCACAGACACCGCAGCATCATTACTAGTGATGCATACGATCCCAATGATGCCAACCCGTGAGTGGAAGCCGGGCGTACATAATGACCGGGTGGAAGATGCTGGCCTGCAAGGGAACCAGCTGAGAAGAAAGACCCATAAACAAACCCACAAGCAAGCATGGCTTCTGAGGGATGACAGCAACAGGTCCCACCTAAGACCTGACCTCCACCTGGTCTAACCACTCCTGAATGTCATCAGCCTCGGTCATCAAACTTAATAAATCCC